GCAATTTCAGTTTAGAGATGGCCTTCAAATCCCTCCCGCTCTCCTCCTTTAATGAAGTACAGCACTGCAATTAACAACCCCCCAAAACTGCCTTCAGTGTTAAATACAAAGAGGAGAGATCAGGGAACCCCCTGGGAACAAGGGGTGTCTGTCTGTCTCTCTGTCTGTCCTCCTGCACTCTGGAAGTGGGGAAGGTGAGGGCTGGGCAGGCTGTGGGAGGAGGGACCCTCGTTATGCAGCAGCTGTGGCTCCTTCATTAGCAGAGGTGCCAGAGGCCACAGCCCATATGCTGCTGCCCTGGATGCTGAGCAGGGATGCCCAGGCAGACCCTGCTCACCCTGCTGTGCTTTCCTCTCCTGGTGTTCACTTTGGGGTGTCCCTGCCCGTGGGCAATCCCTGGGAAGAGCAAAGCTCCTTGGAGGACCAGGATGTGCAGCCTGCACCGGGATGTCACTGCTGGGATGGCCAGCAGGAAGGTGTGAGAGATCCCAAATATCCCACAGGAAAGCAGAGAGGAGCTGATCCAGAGTTACCCCTGGGACACCTCGGTGGCACTGCCCAGTCCCTGCTCACGTTTCTCAGGCTGTGCTCTGCTTGGCAAAGCCGTGCTCTGCTGAAATCTCTGGTGGTTTGTTTGGTTTCCTGAGCGAGAAAAAGACTTCTTTTGGCCTTATCTGGATTGAAAAGACGATTCAAAGCTTATAAATAGCAGTTGCAGCATATGCTAAGGAGCTGTGCTTCAGAAGTAAATACCCTGCTCGTTCCTCGCCGTCTCCTCTGCCTCCCCCTGTCTGGCCACAATCACTGACAGGTGACTTGCACACCCTGCACCCCTTCAGACCTTCCTCCTTCTTTACATCTTCAAGCAGCCAGTAATTAATATCCCCATGATGGCTTTGCCTGCCTAATTATCTTCTTTGCTCAAAATAAGAGTCTTCCTAAATAACTCGTGTGGCGCTGCAGGCGTCACGAGCCGCCGCGCACCAGGACTGGCCTCTCAGCTGCACTTTGGAGAAGTGCTCTCCATGCTGCTGCTGCTGCAGCTCCAGAGCTCAGAGGATGCTCTTCCATGGATAAAACTGGCCAAGAGGTGGAATGGGATGGGTTTGTGCACACAGGAGCAGGATGGAGCAGCATTTGCAGGGATAGTGGCGCTCGCTGCAGCTCGTGGCTCCCCGGCTCTCTCCTCACCTGGAAACCCAGAGCCAAACACATTTGGAGGAGGGAAGGAATTCCAGTGTGGCCAGAGCCTCTTTCCAAAGCCAAACAGCAGCTCAGGGAACAGGAGATTTCTCCAAGGGTTGGAAACTTGATTGCTTGTTAAAGGAGGATGGCTGCTCCCTGCAGGGCTATCCCCTGGCAGTGCCCCCTCTCAGGGCCTGTCCCTACCTCTGCTCATCCAGGAATTCCTTTAAAAATCCCCCAGGTACAAATTCCTGCTGGTGCTGTGGAGATGCAGGCAGTGGAGGGGCAGCAGCATTTGGGTGGAATCGGTGGAGATGGGAGGCGAGAGCAGCTCCTCACAGGTGGCACATTGCCATCTAGCTGGCATTTGCTTATTTTCCCTGCATCCCGAGTTTCCCTGGCACTGTGCTGCCCGGCTGGGTGGGGAGCATCCCTGGTGCCTGGGGAGCTGCTGCTGTCACAGGGGAGCCAGCAATGAGGTGACAGCCAGGTGTGAGAGGAGCAGGAGCCAATTTCCCCTCCCAGCCTCCTGCCTGGTCCAACAGCACCAAACCATCCTTCTGCAGCAAATACACATTTCCCTCCTCTCCTGCCTCATTCCTTCCACCTCCTCAGCAGCTCTGCTGGGGACAAACCCACTGCAGGAACACTGCCAGGGCAGTGCTGGGTCCCTGTGCCAGGGACTCCCAAGGGTGCCCACCAGACCCTGCAAACCCTCACAGCAGCACTGCTGGCAGGGAAGAGCTGGCTCCATGAAATTCCCAGTGATCCCAGAGCCAGCCCAGATGTCTCCACTCATTTTTCTGCTGCACTGGTTCCCTGCCTGCTCCCTGCATTCAACAGGCTGCTGGAGAGGTGTCCAGACCCACAAACCTGAGCCTGCCATGGCTGTCCCCAGGTGTTCTCCCACCTCAGCCAGATCCCTGCCCATCTCTGGGAGGGTTCCACCTGCTTCCCTCAGCCTGGGGGTTCCCAGTTTTCCAATGCCACATCCCTGCTCCCTGCAGGTGCCACACCTGGTCAGGCCACCCTGCCTGGATGGCAGCAGGCACTGCAGCTCCCACAGGCTCTACAGGCTTTGCTGGTGGGGTCTGGAGCACAACTCAACACAGGATTAAAGAGCAGGGTGCAGCCAGCCAGCCCAGGGCCAGGCAGGACCCGCCCTGCCCTGCTGGGGTTCTGGAATTCGGGCTGGGATGGCAGCTCAGGTGCTGCTGGAAAAACCCAGAGCACCCAGGCTGGAGCAGTAACTCCAGGTGGGAAGGAGCTTGGGGAAAGCCAGACAATCGCTGCATTTCTCCAGGCAGGGGCAGCTCTCCTCCTCCCACCCTGGCACCGGAGGAGGGAAACCCACAGGCAGGTGAGACAAACAGAGGGGAGCCCTTCAATCCTCCTCCTCCTCATGGATCCTGCCACCAGAATCCCTCCTTCTGCACCTCTCTGGGGCTAGGAGCACTTCTGAGGATGTGCCTGGCAAAATCTCGATTTATGGGTGCTGCACCCAGCTCTGACAGCTCCAGAGACCTCCTGAGCCCCCAAGGGCACTGACACCTCAGCGCAGGCACAGACAGGTTCTCCAGGGGAAATTTAGTGCAGGTGACTAATGCAGAGCCCTGAATCACCCTCCAGAGATGTGGGGGAGCTCCACACACTCCCCAGCGTGGCTGATGGCTCCAGTCAGGCTGCAGGATCCCCTCCCTGCTCCCGGCTCTTTTCTGCATCTACAACTCGGCTGCTGAACACGGGGGAGTGCCAGTCCCACCCTGCACACTCGTGCCAGCCAGTGTCCTCAGGGTGTCTGTGCCACCCCGTGCTGTCCCCAGCGCTGTGACACCAGCGCTGCCGCCTCCCTGCTCTGCTCCTGGCGCCGCCGTGCCTCTGCCAGCCAAAACCCCACCACACCTCTGGCAAAACAGCCTCAGCAGCTTTGCCTGACACCTGTTACGCTGCGGGAAACACTTCCTAACACCAGGCTGGGTGAGAGAAACACCCGCCGGCCCCGGCACGGAGCCAGGCTGCTTCCAGCACCCAGGATCCAGCATCCAGCACCCAGAATCCAGGATCCAGCACTCAAAAT